AAAAAATTTTTTAAAAATTTTAATTTTTCATAAAAATAAATCAGAAGGGAATTTATAGTAAATAAGCAGGCAAATTTACTTGTGAATCTCTACAGTTTAAGGGATAATAGCTAAACTATATGACTAAGTTTTCAGTATATAACCTTCAAACCTAACAAAATTCATCTCCTAATCACAGAAGAGAATAGGCAGTTATTTCGTAAAATAATATTAGAACAGGAGATGATGGGAGATATTGTAATAAATGAATATCAATTTTTACTACAGCTTGAGCATAATGGTAAGGGTGGTAATCGGATCTATATTGGCTGATTATTAAAATGTATGGTGTTTCAGGCAGAAAAAATAATATTAACTTGCATTGAAAAAAAAGTTAAAAAAATCCCACTAGCACTAATACTCATATGGTAGATAATTAGGTATTATCACCAGCCTATTTAATACCTTTGGTATCTTTTCTCTTTTTATATATTTTTTGTGAGTGAAATATCTAACTTTTTCTTTCAGAATGATGCTCTTCAAATTTTGTAGCTTTTTCATAATGACTAATTATATGATTACGATTAATAGAAAAAGTATTATCAAGCAGGTGAGTACTGATGATAATAATTTATCTATATTAATAGGGTTCCCTGCATTAACTAATGAAATCTTTTTTTTAGAAATAGTAGCGAGTATGATTTATTTTAAAGAAACGCTAGAGCTCTCTGGCTCATTATTTTTTTCGTCATCACTTTTTATATTTAAATCAGTCCTCTCAGGACTATATAGCTGATTATTCTCATCAAAATATTCTGAAGACAATGAATTAATTACAGATTGAAGTGATTTCACTTTTTCTGATTTTGCATGATATTCAGTTTTATATTTAATGAGAGATATCTTTACACAAGTATATTGAAAAAAAGTTTAGAATTTTAACCTTCAATCGTCTGGCCTCATTATTGATATTCATATATTTATTCTGCAACTTAACATTATAGACTCGTATCTTGGATGAGTCTTGTAAGATGTAACATATCTCTTTTTAAGATCATATGTTTCCATTTATTTACATTAGCCATAAACATGTAAAAAACTTCTAAATTTTATGTTAGAGAATAATCACAATAAATAAAAATGAACATAAAGATTATCAATTGTTTTTTATTATTATTTTAGATGGTGTATTAGAATGTATTTTACTCATCTAAAATAATAAATTATGCTTTCTAATATTCCCTCTCATTCTAAACAATAATTATTAAATTCTAATTTTTATTATCCTTCTAAAATAATAAATATTGATTTTTATATTTTTTATATATTTAAGGAATATATCTACCTTAATTTTAAAAACTCATTATCGGTAGAGTGCCACCATTTTAATATCTGACTAAATCAAAGAAATCAGACATCTTAAAAATAAAGTTCCAGTATACATGATAGTAAAAGAGTATCATATTAATAAAAATTTTGTTCATGATATATAAAACGATTATAAGTATTTTTAGTAAAATGGAAACCACTTTTTCGAGAAGCTTAGAAAAATACAATTTATCTCATCAGTCTCTTCTTCAGAGAATAATCCTAAGAAAAAGAAAACAATCATCTAATTGTAGAATCTTTAAAGTTATAAGGCAAGTCAATTTTAAGAGAATTATCTAGTTACTCTAGAACCCTTCATTTCCTGAGTCTATTGAGACAGGTGGATTCCTCTTGGATTATATACAGAAAATGCAAAAAAAGAAAAAGAAGGCATTAAAACCCAAATTCATTCAAAGTTCTGACTTACTTAAGATTTCAACCAAAGGTTCCTACCAAAATTTCTTACTAAACATCTCATATGATCTAATTGCTTCAATTGGAAAAAATCATATCAAAGCAGAAGAAGCTATACGTAAATCAGAAAAATGCCTAGCTTATAACTCATCTTTCAGCCTATTATATTCATCAAAAGTATTTCACTAAGCCAGAATTCATAGTTAATATGAAAAAAAGGGATTAGAAGTTTTTATTAATCTTAATTAATTTAACTTCAGAAATGAGAATGGTATATAACATTTTTTCAAACTTCTCATAATTCATATGTTTTTTTTAATGTTTCATCCTCGCTTAAGTCTTGCAGGTCCTGAAGAATCTTGTTTAGAGTTGGCAAAATATCACATTCAGGAGTAATGCTTGCATAATTCACCTTAAGCTTATTCTTAACCTTATGTATAGTGACCAGAATAATATAATCTTTTCTATTAAAAGGAATCTTTAGCTTATTTGTATTTCAGTTCACTACGTATCCATATTTCTTTAAGAGTTGATTAGAAAATATTAGCGTTGACTTGTAATAATTTATAACTAGAAAATTGTCATAAATAGTAAATCCTGAAGCTAAGATAATTGGCAAATTGCAGATAATACCAATAGATTCAATAGGAACAGTAGTGACACTATTAAGGTTGTATTTTTTAGATTTATCAATTTTAGTCCTAATGTGATGAATAATATTTTTTGTTATAATTGAAGACTCAGCTTTAGAGTTAAGAGTCATGGCTGAAATCTTTAAACGCTTAATTTTATACTTTATAATCATAACACTTATTTTCAGCTCCTTTTACTGTATGAAATAGATTTCCATAGGATCATTTAAGAACTCCTCTAAAATAGATTCATCTTGAGTTAAATCCTCAGAAATATTGCTTTGAGACTTTATCTTCGTCTCTATAGGAATCACTATCTGTTCAAATACAACAGGTCTAGAGTTTTGAAAGAAATGTTCAGAAAAAATTAATTTAAGTTCACTTTGAAGAATTTTACAAATACTTTTCTCTAAAAGAATTTCTCTTAGTATGATGTTAAACTTCAGCTTTACTTTTTTTGCCTTAGCAATATTAACAGTAATATCGCTTTCAGAATCAGAAGAATCAGAAGAACTTGTATCAGAATAAGAATTATCACTAGATGAGGTATCAAAAGAAGAGTCTAATTTGAATCTGAATCTACAATAGCAAGATTAACCTTATCTTTTTTAGACTTCTCACTTTTCTTTTTCTTCTTTCAAAGGCAGTTTTAGGAATTATGTTCAGATCTTCTGCACTTAAAATATTTGTGAGCTGAAGACGATTTCTTAATAGCATATTTAATAACAGTATTTATAATGCTATTAAGCGTTATGACAGCCATACTATTAGTAATATCATTGATAGGATCATAATTATAATCATTAACAAGAGCTATATTACCTTTCTCTCTTACTAGATCACTCAAAAAATATTTATAATAATATCTTCTTTTCTCTTATTAGCTGATTTTTTACTATTATCTAGAGTTTTAGTTACTCGAGACATAGTATCTTGAAAGGATTTAATTATAGCTTATAAATCAGCCTTAGTAATATTTTCTTGACTGAAAGAAGATACTGGTGATTGATTTGACGCTAATTGTTATAACTTCTGAATCCTACTATTTAAAATTCTATCAATATCTTCTGTAGTAATACTCTAATAAAAAGGTGCTTTTAGTTTTATCTTAGTTATAAATATTTTCTTTCAGAAGCAAATTATTTCTTTTCATTTCAATCTCTTCTAATGTTTCAATCAATTTATTATTTAAAGGTCTGTTTAAATCCAATCACTTTATTTCCAATTTGTTTTTAGAAGACAAACTACATATAAATTGTATTCTTATTTTATAATCAAATATTTAAGCCTAACTAGCATATTTATTTATTTTTCTATAGTAATTTCTAACTGAATCAGATTCTTAAGTCAAAGTATCAAAGATCAATTCCTGTTGCTCTCGAATAACTGTAGGATAATTTCTTTAAACCAATAAATAATCTGACAAATATTAATATTAGGAAAAACTATATGGTTATTATTATTTAAAATTCTATTTGGTGTATTTGTTATTATATCAGTATCTACAAGACACCCTCTAACAAGAGACCAATCCTTATCTGTATGAATATTATGTGTTAGAATAACTGTAATGTCAGTAGCTCCAGCTGGTAATGCTGGTAATGGAATATCATCTGATGCATTGATTATAATAGCTATTATATTAGTATTATTCAAGGCCACAATGGCGATTATATTTGCTAAAGCATTTCCACACCTTATATGATTCAACTGCTATTTTTTGCCTATGAGTTTGTTTTTAACTTAACATAAAGTCTTACCTGTTAAGCATAACTAAAATAGTTCTAAATTTCTCTATTTGCCACTTACATTAGCAGTAGTGATATTGGTCACCATAAGATAAAGTTTATAATCTTTTATGAATTTATCTATATCTTCATCCTCTCTACCTAAAAATCTTTTTGATGCATAACCTACCATTCCTAAATATGGAAGATTATTTTGTATTACGAATATTATGCCTATAAATTAAAAATATTCTGGTATTCCGCTTGAGTCTTATTTTTTTATTTCTTATATCGCTCGTAAAGCCTATCTCTATTATATTCTAACAAATTTCTATCTGCTCTATATTACTGTAAATGGTGAGCATTTTGTTGATATAATAGCTAAAAGGTAAAATTTTCTCATAATAATTTATCAATACAGGCTTATTTTCTTACCATATTACCTATTATTCTATTTACCTAATTTTGAGTATTAGTTTAATATTGCTGAGTATTAGTTCGCAACTGATAAAGGTTAGTAATAGCTCTTTGTTCTATCCTTTCAGCAAGTTGCCTTCATATAATTTCATTATCACGCTCAACTTCTGTGTCATAATGACTTCTCTGTTCTCAGACTATATCTTGACGTAAATTATTTTCTTTTGATGAATTTGCCTTATCATCCTTTTTATTTGATCTATTAAAATATCTTTGGCTGTTATCCTATTTTTCACATAACTATCTATAGCATTTGCTAGCTCTATGATGATAGCCATTTTTAAGTTAATATTAGAATTATATAAGTCTAGAGAATTCTCTCATTTTGACGAATTTTTTTCATGATAAGATGGTTTTGATTCAGCATCGTAATTTTTTAACTTGCTTTACAGATTCTACTAACCACTTTTCTAAGCCAAAGATATACCTATCCTTATTTCACACATCTTTTTTAGCTTGATATAGCTGATTTTTTAGACTGAAGATTTCAGATTTCAATTCTAATATTTCTTCTTCTAAAACATTTTCAAAGCACTTTATCTTTCTATTAAAGTCTTGAATTTCTTGCTTACATTAAACATAATCCCACTCTAGTTGATTAATTCATCTCTTATTCTGACAATTATTATCAACTTTATCTGCAATTTACTATGAAGATGGTAGTTTTTCTCTTTCAACTCAGCTTTATGTTCTTCACATGTTCTTCTTTACCTTAGATAAGGCTTTCAAAATGCCATTCTTTTTTGTGATTATAAAAGAGAAACGGAATAAGCTAACCACAAATTTTGATAGATCTCGATGAGGCTTAGTGAATTGAAAAAAATATCATATTATGTGATATATATTATCGTTTAATCAGATATTATTCTAATCCTAAATTATTGAGAGATGCCTATAAAAAAAAGGGACATCAATTTCGCTTAAATAAATGCAAAATTTTTTTAGAAAATCAGAAGTTATACTAAACAAATAAAACTTTTCTGTAATATATTCTTAGAGTTAGTTATAGATAAATAATATGCCTAAATTGTATATACTAATGCGATACAAGACCAAGATCATTATTAAATTAAAATAAAAGATTTAATCAATAAATCCTAATGTCAAAAGTTTATCTCAAATAGTTTTTTCATCATTATACTAAATATAAAAGAGGTATATATTATTTTCAATATATAACTCTTTTTTAATTCTATCTCTTTCTTTCTGCATTTTGAAGTTTTTTAAATCTTCTTTATAAAATAATTTATTATATTATTCATATTAGATTCCTTGACTTCAATTACAAAATCCAAATCATAATATAGAATATCTAATTCTAGTCTAATTGGATATTTAAAAGTTTTTAAGAAATCAGGTTTACAATTTTTTGATGGTAATAATTCAAAATATTTTATTATAATATCTTGACACAAATTTTCATGTTATGACAGTTGAAAATTTTAGATAAAATTTAATTGGTAGATTATGAAGTCAATTTATTGCTATGTAGATTTTTTAAAAAGATTATTTTGTTCATTTTATTGCTGTCAATCAATTATGTAAATCCTTAGATGTCAATTTTATTGCCTTTGATAATCACGTAGATTATAGATGTCCATTTAGTTGTTTACAGATCTGGCAATTTTATTTCCTTTGAATATTTTTAGTTTAGTTTATTTAATTATTTAATATGTATAAATATCTTTGTATTTTTATTAAGTCTTATTACCTTTTTGGCAAAGGTAACTGACAAGATATCAATCTTTTAGGTACTAAACTTATATATTATATTAATAAAGGAGTATAATTAACCAAGTATAAAACTTATCCTTCGCAAACCTATTGAAACTGTTATAAATTATCTGTGACCCTTTATATTTGTGCAATCCCTTTAGTTAGTGAACTTCTTATATGATATTATATTGATTCGCTGTATTGATTTGGAGTTTCTAAAGCATAATTTCTGAAATATCTTTGAGTTATCTTTGTGTTTATTTTGTATTTATCTCACGTGTTTATATTGAGAATAATTCTTCGACGTTATTGTGAATTCTCACTCATAATTTCTTGAGTAATTGTCTTAGTTTTATTTACCCTTTTGAGATTTATTTAAAATTATGAAACCTAATATAACAACGTATATATTTTTGAAAATAAAGACATTAACTATTTTGATTTCTTATAGCATTAAAAGTTGCATATCAAATATGCTTTTTAGTGTACTTTTAATTATAAGGATAATCACAATTAATATATTCTTTAGAAAGACATTTACCACTATTTTAATATGCTATTTTTTTCATCTCTTCAAGATTTAACTTGTATCCATATTTTGTACATTACAGGTATCAAGAATTACCATTTTTTACTCTTCTTAAAGAAGCATACCATAAATGTCTATCTACATAAATTCAAGATAATAGAGTTTCCTTATTGGTATATTTATTAGATATATATTTCCCTTCTCTACTATGTGTAATTTTGTGAGTTATTTCAATGTTAGTAAATTGTTTGATTATATTATATTTTCAGTATCATATATCTCTATTTTTAATATTTATAAGCGGTGTATCCTATCTATAATCTTTAAAACATTTCTAATTTAGAGAAGATGCATTATCAATATATATCTTTGAAAGATATTTACTTTCACATATGAGTGCAATTTTTATTACTGTCTTAAGATTAGAAAGTTTATAATTCAAAACTTTTGATTCATTAAAGAGTTATTACTTGATTTATTTTTCAAACATATTTTGTATCAGTAGCCCATACTTTTTACATATTGCAAAAGTATATTAAATAAATACCCATTAGCATATTTTCAGATTAAAAGGAAACTATTATTAATATAAGCACTCATTGTCTTTACTAATTGTAATTTCTTTAGCAATAGGTAATCTCATTTTTTAATTGTCCTAAGAATACTGTAAACATCACATATCAGATTTTATAAAATAAAGATTTTTTTTATTTATGATCTTTAAAACATCTCTAATGTAAGGGATATTTAACGTGTATATACTCACTAGATAAATATTTACCTTATGAGAATTAGCCAAATCTTATGCAGTTTTTAAAGAATACTTTAATCGAGATATTTTTATTTTTTTATTTTTAAATTTAATATAATACCTACTATTATTATATAAGCGGGTGAAATCTACAAAATGCCATTCTTTTGTGATTATAAAAGAGAAACGAAATAAACCAACTACAGATTGTAATTAATTCTGATAAGATTAAGAAAATCGAAAAAAATCTCATATATATTATCATTTACTTAAATATTATTCTAACCCTAAATCCTTGAGAGATACAGTCAACTCTTGTTATAACGAACTCTATGTCCTAGACCTCAACTTCGCTATAAGGATATAGTGAAGATTTTAAGAGATTTGATTAGCCAATTTATTATAACAAGAGTATTTTTATTATATTTATTCAAAAAATTTGTTATATCAAGAGTTTGTTATATCAAGAGTTGACTGTATATGTAAAAAAGAGGAATATTAATTCCACTTGAAAGATGTAAAAGATTAGCTGAAGCGTCAGCAATTGTACCAAATCTATATATCTCTACCTAAGTATATTCTTAGAACCAGTTATGGAAAAATAACATGACTGAATTGTGTGTATCAAGTTGATATATTATTTCTCACACATAATAAATATAAGAGAAAATATATAAAGCAGTATTTAATATTATAGACTACGCTTTCTGATATAAGGTTTCAGTTTCGTTCACATCTAAGAATAATTCAGAAGTTACTAAAATATTCAGAAAAAAATATAATAACCCTAATAATCCTTTTACCTACTCTAAGTTACTTTAAACAGATAATAGGCGAGAATGGATGGGTAAAATCTTTCAACTAATGCAAGAGCATAATGTTACAATTTGAGTGATTAGTCAATATTCTCATTGAAGTCTTATATTTGTGAAGCACTTTAATTAAATACTCTCAAAAATTCTATACAAGATCGAATATGCTATTAAACCAATATCTTCTGATCCTAAATTAATAAGAGCATAGGTTAAATTTTTATCGGTAGTTATTAATTATCTAAATAATTATCTCATACATTTTATTTGAGAACTGGGATCAGAGAAATAAGGATTTAAGCCTGTAAAAGCAATTGCTTAAGAACGAGTTAAATCTAGACCATTTACAAAATATAAGCGTTCAATTAGAAAAGATGAAATAACATTAAAGAAAGGCAATACTATTCATTACCTACTTGCCAATGCAGAATAGAAGGGTGGAATAGAAGTAGTGTATAGGAGCACTGATTCTATATGGTCGCTTTTATTCATAAAATCTGAAAAGTTGTTATTATAAAGAATGAACCAGTTTTATATTATTTCAAAAGTGATAATGATGAATTTGCACTATCACGTGGATTTGTATAAGAAGAATTCATGTTAATAGCTGATTTAGAAAAGATTAAGTATCCACCTTAAAGTATATTATCTATGCATATTGTCTATAGTTTCTAAAGGAAATTAAAAAGTTTAATGAAGGACCGGGATCAAGCTATTAATTATGCTAAAAAATGTAGTGATCAATACTTAGGAAGAACT